TCCCCCCTCCTTCCTTTCACCAACTCCTGGTGAATACAGATCCAAACCCCCTTGGATCTTAAAACAAGGAGAAATCAATCAGGTTCTTAAAAACAAGGCTTTTAATTAAAGAAAAAGGTAAAAATCATCTCTGTAAAATCAGTATGGAAAATAGCTTTACAGGGTAATCAAACTTAAAGGGCTCAGAGGACCCCCCTCTGTCTTAGGTTCAAAGTACAGCAAACAAAGAAACACTCTAGTAAAAGGTACATTTACAAGTTGAGAAAACAAAGTAAAACTAAGACGCCTTGCCTGGCTTTTTACTTACAAGTTTGAAATATGAGAGACTTGTTTAGAAAGATGGGGAGAACCTGGATTGATGTCTGGTCCCTCTCAGTCCCAAGAGCGAACAACAACCTTAAACAAAGAGCACACCAAAGCCTTTCCCCCCCCCCAAGATTTGAAAGTATCTTGTCCCCTTATTGGTCCTTTGGGTCAGGTGTCAGCCAGGTTACCCGAGCTTCTTCACCCTTTACAGGTAAAAGGATTTTGGAGTCTCTGGCCAGGAGGGATTTTATAGTACTGTACACAGGAGAGCTGTTACCCTTCCCTTTATAGTTATGACAGAAGGTTTCTCATACACATTGCTAAAATATTCAAATTACAGATTCCATTATTGAATAGATTTACTAAAAACAGGAGAACATTCACTCAGTTCGTAGAGTGTACGACTAGACCTTGTGGGGCCAATTTTTCAGAGATCTCATGTCAGCAGAAAGAATCCCACTGATTTCAGTGAGCTTTAGATCAAGCCTCAAATGCACATGAGCTGGGGTACACAAGAGAAGATGAGCCTGGACAGGATTTTCAAAATGGTATCTGGGCAAGTCTAGAGCATGGAGACCCCAAAGGGTGTGGGCACATGAATGGGCACGAGTGTGTCCATGGTGGTTAATGCAACCACCCCTTCCCGGTTCCACCTATACAAAACCCTCCCCACGTGCTGCGCAGTCTGTAACATAGTGACCATCTGTTCAACAGTCACTACGGGCAAGACACTTTTAGTTTTGGGTACTTCTCAATTCAGTCTGTTACATGCAGGAAGTAATTTAATAGAACTCCAGCATATAGATTTCATATATGGAAGTTTAAAAACAGAAATAGGATGGAAGTATTTGCTTTGCTCAATAAGGAGCTTGTACAATAATGAAATTACAATGGAAATTATGAAAATAATTCTAGCTTCTTTTGTTGAAAAGGAATTGTCTCAGCCCATCCGAGCTCAGGGATGTTGTCCTGTTCCTGACACACCCCAGTCCTGTGGGATTCCCATCACCTCTACCCAACAGCTCTGCTGTAGTTGCAGTAACACAAGAATGTTTGGCCTGCCTGGGTGCACCTCTGACTTCGGCCTCACACACAAACACAAAAAGTATTTACAAGGCCAGATTGTTCCAGACACGTCCTGGCCAAAATTGGGAGATCTCATTTTCAAACAATGGTGCCTCAGGAGGACTCCTCTATGGCACTGCTGGGTGCTCAGATCAACACACAGGAGCCTAAATTCCCCTTCCATGTGGGGTTTGGACTAAGATGGCTTCTGTGGTGGAAAATTGGTTTCACAGTATCAACAGCATATTGAAATGTACAGCTGGACACATAAAAGGGAAGACGCGCAGCACAGTAAAGAGATGCAGCAGACCATACGGTACTGCAACTCGCCAGGGAAATGTGCTCACATATGATTGCTATATTTAAACAGTGAAAAAAGAGGACACTCCACGGGGGCTCCAGCCCCGCCCCAACTCTGCCCCTTCCCAACTCCGCCCCTTCCCCACCCCCGGCCCAACTCTGCCCCCGCCCCCACTCCACCCCTTCCCCGCCCCCATTCCAACCCCTTCCCCAAAGTCCCCGCCCCAACTCCGACCCCTCCCCTGAGCACCCCGCATTCCCCCTCCTCCCTCCCGCCCCCCGGGCTCCGGCTGCTGCTGCGCTGAGGAAGCTGCTTCGGCCCCCGCCGCGGTGGAGAGCGGTGGGAGCTGGGAAAGTTGGAGCCCGGGGAGGAGGCGGCTGCGCGCTCGGATGCCGCCGCCACCTCCATGCCCCGGCAGATCGGGGGAGTTGTTAGTTTTGGCTTTGCTGCATCCACTCGCACTCGGGGTCCCCCGAGCGTCTTTTGCCCGAGAGCTAACAACTCCCCAAGTCTGCGGGGGCATAGAGGCAGCAGGCGGCATCCGAGCACGCAGCTGCCTCCTCCCCGGGCTCCGGCAGCTGCTGCGCTGGGGAAGTTGCTTCAGCCCCCGCCGCGGTGGAGAGCGGTGGAAGCCAGGAAAGTTGGAGCCCGGGGAGAAGGCAGATGCGCGCTCGGATGCCGCCGCCGCCTCCGTGCCCCGGCAGATCGGGGGAGTTGTTAGTTTTGGCTTTGCTGCAGCCACTCGCACTCGGGGTCCCCTTACCATGCCTCCCTATTTTCACGGACATGTACGGCTTTTTGGAAATTCCTCCCGGACGTGGATTTGAGGACCAAAAAGCCGGACATGTCCGGGAAAATCCGGACGTATGGTAACCCTAGCTCACAGCTGCTTGGGCAGTCCTATGAATGATTAATTTGTGTGGATTGACTGAAATCTCCACTCCTGAAGTGCTCTTTCTATTGCCATCTAGTGGTCAATGACAGACTTGTCCCCAGAATTTGGTCAATCAACAGGATGGTGTTCGTGTGATATTGTCCTGCTAAGAACATAGGAATGGCCATACTGGGTCAGACCAATGGTCCATCTAGCCCAGTATCCTGTCTTCTGATAGTGGCCAATGTCAGGTGCTTCAGAGAGAATTAAAAGAAGAGAGCAATTTATAGAGCAATTTAAAGTGCATAAAGGTCTCAGCAGGACCTCTGCTAGAGTTGCTCTCACTGGATCTGTGGATGGGTTTGTGCCATATTACTACAACACCTGTCTAAAGTGGAAAGGCAGGAGACTTGGAGGCACTTAGAGAGCACAGATGATTTGGTGAAGTGGGGAGAATGGTGCAAGTGTCTGACCACAAAGCAGAATCCCCTGCTATTAGTGTTTGTCAGCAGTAAGTGATGCAGGAGGCAGACAGAGCTGTAGGAAAGAGACCTTTGTTCAACATGCTGAGTGGCCAGTGTTACACACGGAGGCTCTAGAGTTTGTCTGGCAACCTTGCCTCCACTTGCTTTCCTGAGCCCACAAACAGCTCCTCTTCAAACCTGACCCTCCTTCTCCAGTTCCACTCACCATACTATCATTTACTGGTTTGTTTAACAGATAGTTTGATATAGTAGGTGCGGAAACAGCACCCAGCGGAGGAGCAAACACCTGGATCACGGCACACATTGTTAACCCGGTCTCTTATTGCCACACTACAACCCATCCTTGTGCCATGGCCAACCTTGCCATGTTAAGGGGCCAGGGATGAGACTATTGAGATCTCTGACCTTAGAGTCAGCCACTGCACATCAGTAATTAAGACTCTCCCTCACTAAAGCCCAAAAATGGACAGAGAGAGCCTGACTGTCCGAGGCACCGAGCACCCAAAGCTTCTGTTCACTGTTATGGGAGATGCTGGAGATCAGCACATCTGTAAATGAGGCCCAAGGTTCTTTAGTTCTTCCATAGATAGAACTTTCAGACTAAGCAACACCCCTTACAAGTTATGTTGTGGGGAATACTGGGATGGTGAGGCCAGCCATTTGTGATCCCTGCCTTGATTAAGAAAGATGAAGCACCCTCCAAAGGCATGGAATGAGTGACATCCGGCAAGTATTCAGATGAGAGGGCTGAAATAAAGGCTCATGTCCAGATAATCGGTGGCCCAGCCCAAGTGAACATCCAGGGGAGATGTGTCAGATCTGCTAAGATACAGGCAAGCTCTGCAGAGCTGTCTGAGCATATTACCATCTGAACCCTGGAAATACATGACGACGACATTCTAAAATGAAGCAGCAGCAGGATAAAAGCCAAATATGAACATTTCACAACTCTGTGCTGCAACACAAGTGCAGTAAATTTACATGCACTTTGCATAGGGATGAGGTTTTCTCACTCAGCAGCTGAGCACATATAAATTATAAGCGTTTCATTTTCCACTGCAGGTTTATGAACAAACCTTTCCTACCACAGTTTGGCAAGATGATCTCACACACGCCCCTTCTCTGGCTGCTGGTTCTCTGGATTCAGGGTAAGAATTTGAAAATGTAATGATCCATGTAACAGAACATAAGAAATGTTGCCACCAGATTCATTGAATTAATGTTCTATGTGTTGTGTTTTAGTGTCAAGTCACATTGGCAAATTCAAATTGTGTTTTAGTGTTTTAATATTCGTCATATCCAGCATTGTGTCATTGTTCATTCCGTACCCATCTTCTCTCTTTATCCAGACTCCTCTGGGCAAATTGTGATGACTCAGTCTCCGGAATCTCTGGCAGTGCCAGTGGGAGAGAGAGTCTCTATCAACTGCAAAGCCAGTACGAGCATCAGCACTTGCCTAAACTGGTACCAACAGAAACCTGGACAAGCTCCCAAACTTCTTATCTACGGCGCTAGCAGCCTCCAGTCGGGGGTCCCAGCCCGGTTCAGCGGCAGTGGGTCTGGCACTGATTTCACATTCACCATCAGCAGCGTAGAAGCTGATGATGCTGGAGATTATTACTGCCAGCAATGTAACAGCTTACCTCTCACAGTGATACAGACCAATACAAAAACCTCCCTACTCTCTGCAGTGTACATTGCAGTTACCGTTTGTTGCGGATGTAACTGTCTGCATTTCAAATGTTCTGTCAAACATGAAATAAGAGGGTGACTTATTCCATCTCCAAGCACAGAATGTAAAGGAGAACATTGGAGGACTTAAAGAGTTTGGCTAATCACAGACTCTGGCATATCCACAGAGACTTAAGGCTCACTACAGTTTTCTCTGCTTTATTCCCACTCTGGAATCCCAGGGCATCAGAAACAATTTCATTTTGGAAAAATCAAAGATTTTCATGTCAACAAGGTTGACACGTCCATTTAAACTTTGTCAACTGAACTTCGTAACACAACACCCAACGCAATACAATAGAACAGTCAAAATGATAATATCGAAATGACCATTTTGACTATATCGGAAGGAAATGTTTTGATCTTCCCAAAATTTTCCCCTGAAAATTTGAACAGAATTCATGTGTTCCCACAGAACGTTTAGATTTTGTTAACTCCACACTTCCTGACAGAAAACTATTCCTTCGGAAAAAATTCAACCAGCTCTGCCATTATAAATACACTTCTAAAATGGTCTTATATAACCTAGGGATTTTTAAATGGCAGTGTTAAGATCAGGTGCCCACTTGCTCTGTTGTAGAGTATGTTAAGACCTTATGGGCCAGATCCACAAAAGTCTGTATGGGAGCAAATCCCCATGAATCCAGAGGCACAAGCAGGTAATAGGCACACGGAGGATTTTCATACGAACTGGACAGATACACCAGAGGAGGCGTGCGGCCCAATGGGCAGGGAAGTGGGAGTGGCCACGCAGAAGGGTGCTGACCCCTTTATCCAGAAGGCGTGGGGTGTGGACACATTCAGACTGTGTCTAGTAGTAAAAGTCAGCAGGAGCCAATGGAAAAGGTGTTTAGTCAGCTTCCCAGTGACAGCTGGGCTGGCCACACCCACACATAAGAGCCAGCAGCTGCAGAGAGGGGTAACTGCAGTGGAGTTTAGCAGGTTTGGAGGCCCCGCTGCTCTACTCACACAACCCCCTGTAGCTCTCAGACTCGGACGCCTACTGTGCCATGGAAGTAGAGGGTGAAGGGGCACAGACACAATGGGCAGCGCTGGAGCCTGGCACACTGACACCAATTTCAGCATTTCTGTGCTGTGCATACACTCAAAATCTGAGTATGCTTGAACCTTGGGTCTCCTCTTTCCAGACCTCATTTTCATCCTGCCTGTGTGCACCCTTCAAGCCTTTGAGAACAGCCTTCATTCCAGGCATGCAAAAGGCATGCAGCCACTGGTGCTGATGCAGAGAACCATAAAGCTGCTTCCTTGAAAATTTGGCCCTATCCATATAATAAAAATGCACTAGAAAATGGATTAATTAAAAGAGACCAGGCTGATTGCATTTAAACCCCACACAGTAAATGATTTTAGCTCCGCTACGCATCATTAATCAAACAGCCGTTGTTACCCCCTGTGCTTGTCAAGCTAACTCTGGCTGCTTTACCATCTGAATCATGCAAATATGTTGTAGTTATTACATCCAATAACCACAAGAAACCATCTAGTCCGATATTACAAAGCTCCTCCCTGGCATTAACATCTGATTATTTACATAATTGGGCTCTTTTTGCATATTCACACACGGCTGATGTTTCCTCACTGAGCTGCTGAACAGATAAATGGTTCCATTTCCACTACATGCCTGACTGAGGAGCATTTCCAACCACACAGAAGCAAGATGATCTCAAAGACTCCCCTTCTCTGGCTGCTGCTTTTCTGGCTTCAGGGTAAGAAACAGACAAGTGTTAAAAGTGTTGATAAGACATGTGGCAAATCATAAGAAAAATTCCTATGGTTTGTAGAGTTATATGCTGATTCCAGGTGTATTTTTAGTTTATTTCTACTGTTCAGTTTACAAATGTTTCAGTGTAGAGCTTTGAATAATGTTAATGTCATTGTCCCATTTACCCAACCCCAGTCCTGACAATTTTTATTCTCTCTCGCCAGGTTCCAATGGACAGATTGTGATGACTCAGACCCCAGAATTCCTGGCAGTGTCTCCTGGAGACAGAGTCACCATCAACTGCAAAGCCAGTTCCAGTGTTAGTAGCAACATGGCCTGGTACCAACAGAAATCAGGGCAAGCTCCTAAGCTTCTTATTCGCAGCGCTTCCACCCGCCCCTCTGGAGTCCCAGACCGGTTCAGTGGCAGTGGGTCAGGCACTGATTTCACATTCACCATCAGCAGGGTTGAAGCTGATGATGCTGGAGATTATTACTGTCAGCAGTATAACAGCTTCCCTCTCACAGTGATACAGACCAATACAAAAACCTCCCTGCTCTATGAAGCATGAAGTCTAGCAGACACTCGTACACACAAGTTTCAGAGTAGCAGCCGTGTTAGTCTGTATCCGCAAAAAGAACAGGAGTACTTGTGGCACCTTAGAGACTAAGAAATTTATTAGAGCATAAGCTTTCGTGGGCTACAGCCCACTTCTTCGGATGCATATACAGTGAAACATATATTGAGGAGATATATATACACACATACAGAGAACCAAATGATGCCCCTTCCCCAAAGAACTGCTACAATCTTAATGTAGTTTTTGTCTGGGAATCAATACATTAATCCAGAAAGCAAACTTAATTAGCTCAAAATTAAAATTGTTTTCAGACAAGAGATCCGGAGCATGGGAAATAAAGGTAATATTCAATTATTCATGCAGCATAGATCACATACAAATGAACTGACACCACATAACGTACATTAAACCATTAACACACACACACAGTCACAAACTATGCAGATCAGGTGTGGGCCATCATGGAAGGAAGTGCCTCATTCTGGGAATGACACAAAACACCCTCTCACGGGCTGATTTATGGCAGACAGTTCCCTGCTTGATCCCTTTCCCAAACTTTTCACCATAACTATTTTCACTGGGTTGGTAGGGAATCTACTGGTTTTTGCACTCCAAAGCAGGGGCCCCTTCTTGGCCTGTTTGGGAGGGATCCAAATGCTGCTTGTTGTCACCAGCAAGCAGCAGGTTTATGGTTAAGCAACTAAAGCATGTGGGCTGGGTGAACTTGGCATGCCTAGAACAACATCGTTGAGTGTCCTGCCTGGCTCTCAAGAAGCCTACAGTGCTTGCGTCCTTGATAGATGTTAGATCCTGCTACACTGGCCCTCAGAGCCCAACATGTACAAAACAGGGCATGTGTCTATAGTGCGGAGGGAGTTTTTAAAATATTTTTATTGATTTAATTTTATCCTGACTCTACATAATTGAGGATTCTAGAAGTTTTGGCCCAAAATAAGCATTCAAAAAAATAAACAAACAAACCCCACACAATTCCAAAATAACTTTGTTAAGGGGACACACTCTCTGCTGTGAAAAAATATACAAAGATACATTTATATCAGAGAGGGGAATATTCCCAGATACAAACAATATTAAGATGGAGTTCTGGTTGCAAGTACATATTTGTAATTTAGATTACAAATCTAAAATACATTACAGAGGAGTTGTACTTATAGCACACACAAAAAAAAGTATTATAAATTTAGGAAAATCCAAGATAGATTTAAAAGACAATGAAACATGTTACAGTATGGAAATACACTGTGATGGCACCAAAACATCGCAACAATGTCCTGTAATGATTCAGTGCAATTAACATATCATTGTGATTACAGCATTGTAGTGTTTGAGATTCCCAGATCTGATTAGAAAGATTTTTAAAGATAAAATGGAGTTTTTTCCACATATTTCCCTCTACACCACGGAGTTAATATTATTTGGGTGCCTTAACAGCACTTTTCTTACTTTAAAAAAAAAATCAAACACTTTAAAGTGTAAACCTTAATTCTGAATGTCCTTGGTTTTACAATGCTTGGGTCTAGGTTAAGTGCAACATCCTCATCATGTCTTAAGTTCTGGATAACTACTGACAACCTTAACTCTATCTTAACGTAGTTTTTGTCTGAGAATTTCCTTAGTTTTACTTATGTACATACATATCATTGTCATCATCATGTCACACACACACACACACACAATTTGATACATGAACACTAAAACAAATCCCCAGAGAATGTCATTATACAGCATTACTAATAAGACGCAGATATGTAAAATCAGCCTTCCTTCTCCTTTTTATTTTATTTAGATTCGTAGATTTTTAAGGCCAGAAGGGACCATTACGATCATCTCATCTGCATAATGCCGGCTATAGAACCCACCCAATAAATTCTGTATGAATCCCCAAACTTCAGCTTGAACAGCAGCATATGATTTAAAAAGCTCGCCCGGCTTGATTCCAGAGAGCAGACTGACTTGTACACTAAAGCAGGCAGAGCAACCAACCAGTTTGTATCTCCAGAGCAGCCAAAGTGTATGGGTAAATCTTGCCATTCATTTGTAATTGCCTTTTTGGTTTATGGGGCTGTTAGTGAGACTGCTGCTGTGTCTAAGCTCTGGAAAGACTCCATGGCTGCATTACCAGCGTGAGCAGCAGTGCCTGACAGGTTGCTCAGAGCGCTGCTTCCTCAACTACAAGGCATGCTGAAGTTGCGCTGCTGGGGGGGACCCAATGCAGGAGTACTGTGGGGAGGACGATATGATGTTATTCACTCTTAAAGCATCAAACTATTCATCAAGTGGCCTTTGTTCCCCATATAACAAGATGGGGATCTGAAAGAAAGAGAGAATAAGTAACTTGTTGCATGTCACACAGGGAGACTAAGGCACAGCCACGTGCTCAACCCAGATCTCAAACACCAGTCCAGTACCTCAATAATAAGGCCATTCTTCCTTAACAAGGCCCCCAGGTGCTATCTATACACTACATGCTTCTTCTGGTGTATGATGAGAAACTGGCCCCACAACATCAATCACAGCTTGAAACATGTGACTGGGAGGCTAAAAGGGACACACATGAGAAGGCAAAGCAGCATCAGGCCGTGTAGCCCCAGACTCCCTGGGAAGTGCTAGGCCATCTGCTTGGGCACACCATTCATGGATTAAATTCTGTAGACAACATTGGCCAGTAGATGGCAGTATTTTGATACCACTTTGCAGAGTTGGCGATTTCAGGCCAAACAGGCCAGTTAGTTTTGGAAGGTTTCGTTACTGGTATGGTCTGATGAAAGAGGAAGAAGAATAATTGAATGAATGGGCTTCCCTGATCACCATCTTTAAAAAAAAAACATACCTAACTGGGAGCCCCTTCAACCCACAGCTAAGTCCTTACTCATATGAGCAGTCCCAGTGAAATAAATGTGATTACCTGTGAGACTGATTGTCATGTCACAGGAGCATGACTGGCCCTACATAACTCAATTGTTATAGATGGGCTTGTGTTTAAATATATGGAAATCGGTAGCAGCGCAGCCTGCTCTGCTACCCATTGATAGAGTCTCCTCGTTAAATAAACTGTAACCACCTTATACCACATAAGCCTCAGGCTGGGCACTTGAACACCAGAATGGTGAGTAACTATAAATAGTTATTACATGCAACTGCAGCATGAAACAGACAAGCTCAATATTTCACAACAGCTTTCCTGGGGCTATCATTCTGGTGACTTCCAGAATTTGACCCTTTTGCATATTCACACAAGTAATTTTTCCTTTCTGATAACTTTTAAATGTGTTGATTTCCACTGTGTGTTTATCAACAAACATTTCCAATCACAGACAACCAAGATGATCTCACAGACTTCTCTGTTTGTTTCTTGTTTTCTAGCTTCAGGGTAAGAAATTACACAAAGGTAAGAATTGTTGCATTGATATAGATATTATTTTAAGTTCATTACTGCTCTGAAATCCTCGCCAGGTTTCAAAGCCTGGGCTCCCCCCACCCCGTGGCAATATCTATGCTGTTATCTTTAGACCCGTGAGCCCAAGTTGTTGACTTGCAATCTGAGGCTTGCTGTTGTGTTTTTTTGTTTGGGTTTGGGGTTTTTTTGCAGTGCAGACTGATTACACTCAAACCATTGTCAACTGGCCTTTCCCAATGATACAGGCCAATGCAAAAACCTCCTTGTTCTACACAGAGCTGGGCACTTAGGCACAGACCCTTGACTATATTTGGGTGCCATTTTGGAATCAATGGGAGATAGGTGTCAAAATAGCTTTGCGGAGTGGGTCTTAGGAGAGCAGGTCTCTTATGAAGACCAGCCACTAGAAGGGGAAAAAGACCCCTACACTCTCCTTGCATAGGAGGGGGAGGTAGGTACACTTTCTCCCGATAAAGAGCTCACATACACCAATTGGCACAGGTCTCCACTGGGAGCACAGCCCAGCAAAAGAAGCTTCACCAGGAATTACTCAGTGCTTTTCTGAAGCCCACAGAAAGCAAGGAGAATGTAGCTGCAGCTCTGTTTCTGGAGTGGATGCTGCATACACACCGCCTTCCAGAGCTGGCCATCTCTATGGCCGGTGCAGGGGGTGGAGATCATAGACTATCAGGATTGGAAGGGACCTCAGGAGGACATCTAGCCCAACCCCCTACTCAAAGCAGGACCCATCCCCAACTAAATCTCGCAGAAAGGGCTGTGAGATCCTGGCTTGCAGCCCTTTCTGGGGTGGTTTGTGGTGCTGGCTAAGTACATTGTTTGCAGGGCCAGCTCCAGGCACCAGCTGAGCAAGCTGGTACTTGGGGCGGCAGATTGTTCGAGGCGGCATTCTGCCCAATCCTAGGGCGGCACAGCCGCTTTTTTTTTTTTGTTTTGTTCCGCTCCGGCCGCCCTGTAGGGGGCGGCGGCGCGGAGAACCAGAGCACCCTGCAGGGCAGTCCTCTTCCTTCCCTCCCCGCAGACCAGAGCGGAGCCCTCGCGGGAGGCGGCAGCGCAGCGGGAGGGGCCGCGTGGCAGCGCCCCTGCTGTAGCCCTGGCCGCCCCCTTCTCTCTCTCTCCCGCCCGCTCCCTGCCCC